ACCTTTTCCAATCCTGTGGCCACTGTTGAGTTTTCCAAATTTGCTGGCATATTGAGTGTAGCACTTTTACTGCATCGTCTTTTAAGATTTTGAATAGCTCAGCTGGTATAGCATCACCTCCACTAGCTTTGTTGTTGCTCAGACTTCCTAAGGCCCATTTGACTTCACATTCCAGGATGTCTGGCTCAAGGTCAGCGACCACCCGTTGTGGTTATCAGGGACGTTAAGCTCTTTCTTGTATAGTTCTTCTGTGTAATCTTGCCACCCCTTCTTAATCTCTTCTGCCTCTGTTAGGTCCCTGCCATTTTGGCCCTTTATCATGCCCATCTTTGCATGAAACGTTCCCTTCATATCTCCAATTTTCTTGAAGAGCTCTCTGGTCCTCCCTATTCTATTGTTTTCTTCTACATATTTCTTTGCACTGTACATTTAAGAAGGTATTCTTATGTCTTCTAGCTATTCTCTGGAATTCTGCATTCAATTGGGTGTATTTTTCCTTTTCTCCCTTGCCTTTCACTTCCTTTCTTTCCTCAGCTATTTGTAAAGCTTCCTCAGACAACCATTTTGCTTTCTTGCATTTCTTTTTCTTTGGGATGGTTTTAGTTGCTACCTCTTGTACAATGTTGCGAACCTCCGTCCATAGTTCTTCAGGCACTCTGTCTATCTAATTCCTTAAATCTGTTTGTCACCTCTACTGTATATTCATCAGGAATGTGATTTAGGTCATACCTGAGTAGCCTAGTGCTTTTCCCTACTTTCTTCAATTTAAGGCTGAATTTTGCAACCAGAAGCTCATGATCTGAGCCACAGTCAGCTCCTGGTCTTGTTTTTACTGTCTGTACAGAGCTTCTCCATCTTTGGCTGCAGAGCACATAGTCAATCTGATTTCTGTGTTGACCATCTGGTGATGGCCATGTGTAGAGTTGTCTCTTGGGTTGTTGGAAAAGAGTGTTTGCTATGACCATCATATTCTCTTGACAAAATTCTACCGGCCTGTGCCCTGCTTCATTTTGTACTCCAAGGCCAAACCTGCCCGTTATTCCGGTAATCTTTTGGCTTCCTACTTTAGCATTCCAATCCCCCATGATGATAAGGACATCATTTTTGGGTGTTAATTCTAGAACCGGTCAACTTCAGCCTCTTCAGCACCTGTGATTGGGGCATAGACTTGGACTACTGTGATGTTGAATGGTTTGCCTTGGATTCGAACTGAGATCATTCTGTCATTTTGGAGATTGTATCCCAGTACTGCTTTTCGTACTCTTTTATTGACTATGAAGGCTACTTCATTTCTTCTGAGGGATCCTTGCCCGTAGTAGTATACCTGATGGTCGTCTGAATTAAATTCACCCATTCCTGTCCATTTTAGTTCACTGATTCCTAAGATGTCGACGGTCAGTCTTGTCATCTCTTGTTTGACCACATCCAGCTTGCCTTGATTCATGGATCTTACATTCCAGGTTCCTATGGAGTATAGATCTTTACATTATTGGACTCTCCTTTCACCACCAGATACATCTGCAACTGAGTGTCCTTTCAGCTTTGACCCTGTTGCTTCATTCTTTCTGGCGCTACTAGTACTAGCCCTCTGCTCTTCCCCAGTAGCATAGTGGACACCTTCCAACCTGAGGGGGTCATCTTCCGGTGTCATATCTTTTTGCCTTTTGGTACTGTCCATGGGGTTTTCATGGCAAGGACACTGGAGTGGGTTGCCATTTCCTTCTCCAGTGGATCACATTTTGCCAGAGCTCTCTGCTATGACCTGTCCGTCTTGGGTGGCCCTGCACAGCATAGCTCATAGCTTCATTGAGCTATGCAAGTCCCTTCGCCACAACAAGGCAGTGATCCATGAAGGAGGCTGAACTCTTTAGACCTTCCCAAACAGCTTAGTTTCTCCAGGTATCTGCACTCTCCAGGGCTCAGTCTTAAGATCCTCTCTAGAGTAGTTCATGCTCTTCACCACTGCAACCTGTGTGTACTCCTGTGTCTTGCTCTCGCCCGGACAAAGGTGGTGATGCGGAAGCAGAGCAGCAGATTCCTCTTCCTTACTACTTGCCAGACAAGCAAATAGTAACAGGTGAAGAGGAGCAAGAGCAGCTGTTGATAATGGTGATGGGAAAGTGAAGTCTGTGAGGGAGGGGGTCTGTGGAGGGCATTTTGCCCATGGGCTCTCCAAAAGGAGCCAGCACTGAGTACCTGCAAGCCGAGGCACAACTGCAGGACAAAATAAAATCTTCATGTGGGAATCCTGGGATGCTTTCCCACCCAGTTTTCTTAGGCTTTCTCTGTCTGTCTTATAGATCTTGAGCTAGGCAGCACCTGAAGATTTGATTTGGCCTGTAGTCGCGACTAGAATTGCTAGGCTTGGTGCTCATCACTTGGGGATGCCAACCAGCTATGCAGGAGGCAACATACCCCCCTGCCTCCCTCCTCCTCTCATCACTTGTCTTGGTAGCCATGACTAGCTTCTTCCATTCTCAGTGGCATAAGTTTATACACCAAAGGTTACAGTCAGGTTGGAATTCCTGGTAGATCTTCCTTTTCCCAGTTGACACTGGCCCCTTGCAAAGACTGAAATGAGAAGTTGGTTGGGGCTTTGGTTCCCGGAGATCACTGTGACAATGGTTGTATTTAGCACAGGGGTCTCAAACTCGCGGCCCGCGGGCCAATTGCTGGGCCGGGTGGGGCACAGGGGAGGGGCCCTGCAGCCTTCAAAGTGCCGGCGGCGCCCGGGCCAGCCGCGGGATGAGCGGCTCACCACCACCGCGGTGGTGGAATACTTGATGCGGCCCACCCTCACCCAGACTCTACTTCCAGCGGCCCCCAGGTAAGTTGAGTTTGAGATCCCTGATTTAGCAGGTTTGCAACCAGATGCTCCTCTTGTGAGTGGAGGAGTTCTCCATGCTGTCCTGGCCACCTCCATTCTGAGATTTGTGGGGCTCTCGCTGCCATTGCTGGGTATTTTAAGCTCTTTCCCAGGCCTGTGAGCCCCAGCAGGGGGTGGATCCACTGCCTGCTTGCAGCTGCTGTACTGTACACCTGGCTGCTTGCACAAGGGTTCTTTGTCCTGCACCAGGGAGCTCTGTGGAGGGGGTGGGGGTGGGGTAGAGCAAAAGGAAGATTGTGAGGCTGTTGAGAGTTGGGGAACAGGAGACTGGAGTGAATGTGCTTCCAATCTGCAGAGTGTCTCCCCTCATCAGATAAAACCGATGGAAATCATTTAAACTGCTGGTATTCCAGAACAAATCAAGACGCTGATAGGACCTAATGGAATGGGCAGCCTTCTCCAACCTCGTACCACCCAGGTGTTTCAGACTGCACCTCTCAGAAAGCCTGATCATTGGCTATGCTAGCTGGGGCTGATGGAAGTTGTAGTTCAAAACACCTGGAGGGTACTAGATTAAGGAAGAATACACAAAGGAGGATTTATCCCTCTCACTGTTGCCAGCAAGTTGTGATATTTCTATATTGCAAAGCTGATTTGTTTTAACTAGCTGAAATGTGTCACTTCTTGTAGTGTACAAGAGTATTTTTCCCTAACCAGCATGGCATGTGCTAGGCAGGGATGATGGGTGTGATAGTCAAACACATCTGAAGGGAACTAGGTTGCAGGGAATACCTTACAGAGCAAAGCTTGTTGCAAAAATTTTCTTCCTGAACTTGGTATTTAGCTTGACACTGGGGCATCTAACACTGAGCCATGGGAGGTTCAATAATTTATGATGCTGGCATCAGGTCCCATCACTTAATTATCAGATTGGAGATTAATTCAGTGCTACTAGATTCCATTTTTATCACTTGGCCAAACTGTCCTTGTCCTAGACAAGACATAGTGGAAGTCATCCAGTACAAGCTTCTGCCCAAACACTTGATTATATGCCTATCAGAAGAGACTTGGCATAAGTTGGCATAGTTTATTCTTCTTTTTCCATAAATGATTGTAATTTCATTAGTCCCAGGAAAGGGCTTAAGATCTAAGCCGAGTTCCTGCCTGAAATCAGTGGGAGTCATATTCATCCAACTCCTTGGCTTCTCAGATTTCAGCAGGCTTCATCTGTACGTTCTCAAGTATAACTTCAAAGTCACAAGGACTAGGAAAGTGAGTTCTTTGGACAATCTGCACATTCTGCATCTGCTGGCTGGTACCCTGATTAGGAACCCTCCAGTGCTAGGAAGTGAGGACACACTGCAGCATGTTGTTGCAGGGCTCACTTGCTTAAAGTAAAATAGGAAAGCAGTGTGGTCTGGTCTGGTCTGGTCTGGTCTGGTCTGGTCTGGTCTAGTCTGGTTTAATGCCTTTACCTAAGCCTCCTACTCACAGGCAGGAAAATTCAGGGTGAATGAGGCAACATTTCTGGGGTGATAGAAGGGGTTGTGCCACCTCAGACTGCAGGTGAGAGACTTCTCTTGCTTGAATTCTTTTCTGGTTTCAAAGAAACTAAGCACACCCTGAAAGCAGAAGAAAGAGCTTGGTAGTAAAAGGGCTGAAGTAAACCTTCCCTCCTCCCTCATGTAGGACATTTCTATTTGCAGGAGACAGGGAATGCATTCATGTGGTACCCATTCAAAAGGGGCATCCCTGACCTACTATCCTAAAGTGGTACATTTCTGCCACTTTGATCTGCAGCATATGTTGACCCAGACCCAGAGTCCTTTGCATGCACAGAGGAAGGAAGCTTGCCAGTAGCACTGTTTGCTGCAAGCTTATGAGGAAATAGAGATAGGTAAGGAGGAAAACTTAAGGATAGCCCTCCTTAAGGATCAGACCGAACACCTCTCTGTTCTCACCAGATGCCCCTAGTGGGAAGCCCACAAGTAGAACAGGAATGCAAAAGTACCTGCCCCTCATGTTCCCCAGCAACTGGTTTTCAGAGGCATACTGCTTCCAATCTTGGAGGTAATATATGTTTATCATGATTGCTAGCTGTTGATAGCCGCCTCCTCTGTGACCTCCTTCACATCTCAAGTGTGGACTCACCCTATCACTTTCCTCCTCACAGTTTCAGTGTCCTTATTGGAGCACCCAAGGCCAAAACAAATCAGCCAAATGTTACAGAGGGAGGTGCCGTCTACTACTGCCCTTGGCATCTTGACACCAGCAGCTGTATACCCATCGAATTTGACAGCAAAGGTAAGCTAAGGGTTGGGGCTGGCTGGATATTTGCCTGACCCCCCCCCCCAATGTATTTATTTGTTTGTCTTTGTTTTATCCCACTCTTTCTCCTAATTGGCGTCCAGGGCAACTTAACTCACAACAACACTGAAAAAATACAGTGATGCATAGGGAAATATTCACTGGTATTCAGCTGCCAATATTGTTGATGTTGCATTAGGGGAAGTCAACACAGTTGCAATGGCAACAACACTTTCTAGCATGATGGGTTCCTTGGGAACGTCTGGGCTTTAACTGTATGCTCTGATAAATGGGAAGGATCCAGCAATGTCTGGCCACTAGCACAATTTATGATGAGCTAATGGAACCATGTCATACTAGCAAGCCCTCTTGATGTTGAAAGTGTTGGGTTCCATTTATCCTTGGAGTAATTGCCAGCTCCAGGTTTCTACGGGTCCTTGGACAAGGCCCCGTCCTTCTCTAAGTTCATCTTCTTGCCACTATTTTTATCCACCGCTTTGCTACTCCTTTGCTCTTCTTCCTCACCACTGGCCCAGAGGGAGAGCCAAGTGAACAAGCTAGCTACAGTGGTGAAAAGGAGGAGCAAGGCCAGGAGGCTCTTGTTTGTGAATGCTAGCTGGAGTGTGGGCCCTTGGAAGGTGCCCAGCCACCTGCCCTTGTCACCAGCTCTGGTTGGATCCTTCACATTACTCACAAACCCTCCCTACAAATTTATTGGGGGGGGGGTTAATCACAGCACTCTTGTGACAAGTACTCTCGATTTCTACCCACAAATCTATGTCCCACATTCCAGCTTCTTTCCTCTTAACTTCATCACTCAGACTTCCTCTTAACTTCTTAGATATTTTCATTTCCTACATGGAGAGCAGGGGAAGTATAACCATCATGGCAAAATAAATTGGACTGACGCTGTCCCACTGAACTACTTCCTGTGTAGAAAATGTATAACTTCCAATCAACCTTTCCTACAATGCCTTGACATTTTGTTTAGTGGTACTTTTTCTGGGAAAGGTTAAAGAATGATGGCTGTGGTCGGCCAGGCATGAGCTTTAAAAATATTGAGTGACGTACAAACCCACACTACAGCTAACCAATTGAAAAAGCAGTGTTTGTGTGCCAAGACTATGAGATGATGGGAGAATCACTGTCCCACAACCTTCCCCAACATGGTGCCCTCTGGTTTCTTAGACTGCAACTCCCATCAGCCTCATCCAGCAAGGTATGACAGAAATTCTAGTCCAAAACAACTGGTTGTCGCTAGGTTGGGAAAGGCTGCTGTTCCCTTTCTGAGGTGCTGGCCCAGTTTGACTTGTACTGATAATCTCAGTTTGAGTGCTGATCACTTTCAGCTCAGTAATGGATACACTGAGACTGGAATCATATGCGAGGCATTTTCTGGCTGACCTGGAAGTATGTGAGGCACTTTCTCTCCCTTTCTCTCTGATAAGAGCATACCAGCCCGTCATAGTCCATATTGGAACGTGTATTAGTATGCCAAATTGGCTTTAACCAATATGCTAGTTTCCAATGCAAAATTCAGGGGGTGTGTCACTGTAGCTATTTCCTTGCCAATAGTAGCTGTCAGTTTCAAATAGGAAATTCAGGCTTTGTACAACTGTGAAACATCCCCTTCCTTCATCTCCCTTTATCTGTGGTTGCTTAACAACAGAGCACCTCCCTTTCCTTCCTGTGCTCTAATCTTACAGAATGAATAGGAAGAATGGCAGTGTCTGATTGGCAGTACTGGCATAAGAAGGAAATGGAGAACTGCTGGTATTTTGGATCTCGATTAGGCCCCTCTTCCTGGGTTCACTGGTTTTAGAGTCTTGCAAGAGCAGGGAGCAAGGTCAAAGGCATCAGTAGTGATCGGTGGCACACAACTGTCAAGGGCTGAGGTCTCATTCTAATTCTGGGATAATGTTTGTGGAAGGAAGGGGAAAATTTTGACTGCCATTCTGAATATGGAAGCTGAGGGGGTGTTCTATAGTTTGTCCTGTCATGCAAAGCCAGCATCATGGGTTGTTTGAGGCTGTAGATAACCCTCAAATAATCCATAGCTTATTTTAGAATTATTTGAGGGTTGTCTGTCCCCTCCAACAACCCATGAGAGGGTAAAGCAGGGCAAACATGCAAAAAGGACACCTGCAGACACCCAGATGATCATGACAGCACCTATGACTAGACAGTGTGCTTCATGTCATACAGGCTAGGTCCCTGACTAGCACTGGCTTTCCAGGATTTCAGGCAGCCTAATTCAGCAATGCTGGATATTAAAGCTGAGACCTTATTGGTGTGAACCATGTGTTCTGCCACTGAGTTACAGCCCTTCCCCACAGTTGGAGAAGTTGGGATGATCTTATGCTAATCGCTAGCTCTCAGCTTAATACACCTCACAGGGTGATTGTGAGGATAAAATGAACAGTGAGAGAACTATGTATGCTGCTAGCAGGAAGGATGGGATTTAAATAATGTAACAAGTACATAAATCCTGAACATAATGAGAATTCTGTCAGTGGACTATGTGTGATGTGAATATGTTGACAATCATTCACTTAGGCCTGAAGGCATCTGTATGGCTGGAGAAGGAAGGGATCCAACTTCTCCCTCCCGCTGGTGACTCGGAAGGCCTAGACCTTTGGCTGGCTGGGCAGACATTGGGTTTTCCCGCCTTGGCACATGGTGCTGTAGACTTGGCTTGGACAGTACTCAGTGGAGCTGGGCCAGGGAGAGTTTCCTCGCCTCAGCTGAGAACAGAGATCACATTCCAGTCAGGGAGCAAAACAGGACGCTGCCTGGGGAGCTCCTTCTGCTCTTTCTCAGTAGTCTGATTCTGGGGGAACATGGTTTCGTGTGTCTGGCAAAATCTAAGTATCTCTGTGTTGAAAACAACACAGAAAAATACTTAGAACGAATTAATGTTACAAATTCTGTACACAAGCCTTCTTTTTAAAGGGAATTTTCTTTTCAGGCTGAATTGCTCAAAGCAAACAAATATGCAAAGTATTATCAGTAGATTTGTTGAATTCTTGGACTGGTATCCAGAATTTTCAAATGCTACATACATTGATGGGCACACACATACAGAAGTTTCAAAAATGTTAGTATAAAAGGAACCAACCATTCTGCTCTAGAAGCATGCATAATTGCCAGAGGTGATTGTGTACTGCAGAGGATTATGGGACACACTGTAGAACATTTAGGTCACATGAGCAGCAGCCAGCCATGTTATCCACTCTGTAGTCTCACAGAATGGACTGATCCCATGTTCTGGGGAAGGGACCTGGCAAAGTGCCCTCCAGCTGGTCTCCTCCTTTAATGGACCTTCTGTCATTTACCTCATAGCTGCACTTCATAGCTAGATCCAAGAAGAAGCACTTACATTTCCCATAATTACTCCCAATGGAGCATCTCTTGGGAGCACTGTGGAATATTAAAATGGCAGCAGGTGGATCCAAACACTTTGTCAAAAGGAGGCAGATGACATGGTGGAACCCAAGGCCTGTACTCATAGCCATGACCTTTCCAACTGTGCATTACAGGGAAAAATGAGTAACAGTGGGGACACTTGTCATCATTGCTCACCATCTTCTTGATGAATCTTTGAGAAGCTCCCAAAGCATGTATGGGTTTTTTGGATTACATTTTGAAAAACCACTGCAGCGGAGATATTTGTTTGTTACAGTTATATCCCACCTGTTAAACCCATGTGTAATGACACTTACTGAAAGTGATAGATTTTACTTTATACAAAATACATGGGCAAGTGTATTTCATTTGTATTCAATGTAACTGAGCTGTTCAAATTTCATGCTTCATCCAAAATATATTGAGGTATACATGTTATATGTATCAAATTTGGCTTAGCTATTCAAATTTCTTGTAAAGAAACAGTAACCTTTGGTTTTGGTTTTGGTTTTTTTAACATTTTGCTTTTGTTCTTGATTTAATGAAATTCACAATGAAAATTGCTGAAAATAGTTATATCCTGCCTGTGCTCCAAGAAGCCCAAGGCAGTTTATACCCTCTTTCTCCTTTTCCTCCTCTGTTTTACACTCACAGCAACCATGTGAGGTAGGTAAGACTGAGAGTATTTTATTAACAAATCACTCAGTGAGCTTCACGGGCGAGCAGGGATTAGAAGCCAAGTCTGTCTAGTCCTAGTCCAACAGGTAGGATAGTTAGTCAGGAATGGCTTAGACATTTTTTAATTTACAAGAATTCTTTTCCTTCAAACTTGTCTTTATTTTCTCTGGAAACAATGGCAAATCTTGAGGTCAGGACAGGGGGATGAAAAAGCCATGTTGTAATATGAAATCTTGTTTCCTCTGAATAAACAGAGGAAGAATTTCTGGAGTACTCTTCACAGCAGCTTTGTTGGATTTTTGAAATCGTAAATGACATTTTCCAGTTTGTTGATTTTCCAGGTACGGATGTGAATTAATCGGGGTGGGGGTGAGGAGAGAAGAACCCACGTGGAACCAAATTGCATTTTTGGCAGTTCGTTTAGAAAAAAGGAATTGGAAAAGCTAAATAGACCAGAAATAGCTTGAGGGGCTTTGCACTATATAGAAAACCTAGAGTAGCTCTTCTAGGATCACTGCCTATTGGGGTTTTGTGGGAGAGAGGATAAGGAACCTTGTTTTTTACAAGGAAGGTAGAGGAAGGCAGGACACCTGGAATCAATATTTCTTTGGAGAGAGAGAGAGAGAGAGAGAGAGAGAGAGAGAGAGAGAGAGAGAGAGAATGAATTTGTGTGTGCATGTGTATGTCTGTGCCTCTACAGGATTTTGCCAGCTCAGACATAGGCACTTGAGCACTTATGGAAGCCCCTTCCTCTGTATCCCCACATATTCACACCCATGTGTTGACATGGAAGTCTGAAGAGGGTTTGGTAAGCACGTGCAGCTGAATACCATGAGTTTCCATGACTGGAAATCGGGTTCAGGATTGCAAGAACTCTTCAAATGCATTCAGCTGGACACACGTAGAAGACCTTCTTCAGAGCTTTGTTTTGTCTGACTGGGTGCCGAGTATGCAGGGACACTGCATGGCTTACATGCTAGCCCATATCCCCTTCCACACATTAGTAGCCATTCACACAAACAGCCACACATATGCATAAGTTATGTGAGTATGTATGTGCACACAAACACACATGCACATTGCTGCATATATATGTACATGCACAGGCACACGCACCCAATCCTTTTGACCACAAGAGTAAGGTCTGGGTGGGGAAGGACTTTGTCCCAGAAATCTGAAGTATAGTTAACACTGATCTAGATCTACATGTGTTCTCTATCCTGCAGGATCCCGTGTGGATGAACCAATGGGCCAAATGGAATTCAAATCCATGCAGTGGTTTGGAGCCACAGTGAGATCACACGGCAGCTCCATCCTAGTAAGTTGGGTGGCATGGGTGTTGTTAAGCAAGGGCCACGAGCAAATGATTAGTTGGCCTACAGTGATGGACATTTTGGGCGGGGTCAAGCTTTATTTTTGACCTCTTCCTTGAGTTGCAGGAACCTTCTGCCATGTGAGAGCAGGGAACACAAGAAAGTGGATGGGGCACTCCAGAGATCAGGAGGGTACTTCCCACTGGAGGTACCACAGCAAAACATCATGAGTTCCTTGGTTTTCACAGATTTGATTATTTGCAAGTTTGCCATCAATAACTATATGGAAATTTCTTTTGGAGTTTTGTGGCCTATTGTGGCAAGAATGTGACCAAAGCCTTTTTCTGTGGGGATAAAAACTGTCTGGCTGCACTTGCTGCCTCTGTTCCTCATTTCCACTCCCCATCCCACCCTGTCACTGCAGTTTCCTGTCCTCTTTACTGTCTCGCTCAACAGCACTCTGAGCTGGGGAGGTTTACTCAGAAGTAAATCCAGGGATATACACCTGATAAAGGATGCCCAACAATACAGGCTAATACACAGAAAGAGTGGGAGGGGAAGAAGCAATCCACTACAGATATGGTCAACAGTATTTAGAGTTAAAATTTAGGGTTCTAGAGATATTCATGGTTTTTCCACTTTCACAGGAGTCCTGTGCCCCTAACCTCTGTGAAAGTTGAGCTTCAACTGCACATTGCATTGATATGCAACTAGGTGTTGCAATCCAATGACTAGGCAAAATAAATACTATGCAAAACAAGCCCATATATGCAGCTGCACTTAATTTGCCTGGTTTCTGCAAGTTGTACAGTTTGGCTTATGTTGGTGCAGAATTCTGACTACCTTTGGCAAGGATGCCATTCCTGGACAGCTCTTTTTTAACTGAGGGAAGAGGGGAACTGGCACTACCTGAACTTCCCCTGCAGGTCCTGACTGCAGAGTCAAAAGGATATACATTACATTCAGTCTTGCAATTAGCATGCCTCTTGCCTTGTGATTTGGAATCCCAAATGAAGTGTGTGAAATGTCCAAGATAATTTTTCTGCCTTGTCCCTTTGCTATTTAAATTAAGAAAACATTTGTGTTTTCTCTACTCATGACAGCATCCCTAAACCTGCCTCCTTCTTTTGTAAAGCAGTTGCCTTTGTCCAGCTGTCCCTAGGAGCAGTTATTCTGCATCCTTTCTGAGACAGCCTCTTCAAGTATTTGAGGATGCTTATCAAGTCACTGTGTCTATCTTCTTTGCATTCAGGCTAAACCCTTTACTGCAGAGCTTCTCATAATTGCCACAGATGGACAGCCAAGTCCTCACAAAAATGATTTAGTCTTCTCTGTCATACTTCCAGGTTCTTCTTCTAGGAGTTTGCATATCAATAGTTTGGAGAGGAATCCAAGTGATTGCAAATCATAAAATGATTTTAGGGTAGTGGTGGTTTAAACTCCATCCTTCCCCAGTTTGGCACTCTTTGGATGTGTTTGGTCTACAACTCCCACCGTCCCGAGCCAACACTGGTAGCTGGAGGTCATGAAAGTTGTAGTCTAAAGTATGTCAGCTTGGGAAAGGTTTTTTTTAAAATCAAAGTTCAGAATGTTTGGCCCTCTATACATTTGGTATTATTTCATTCATTTTCATTATGTAGTTGAGCAGCAGAGCTATGCAGGGCAACAAAGGCCACCCTCTGGCACTTTTAATCACTTGGAACTTAGCTCAGGTTTCCCTGCAGCCCCAGATCTTAATCTTCTACCATCTTGGGTCTCCAAGCCCATATTTTCGGCCATGAGGACTTGTGTGTGTGTGTTTTAAATTAGATTTTCAGCATACTGAAGTCCATGCTGAGCACCAAGTTCAGGAAACAGCTCTTTGCCTTATGCTGACTATATGGACCCAACTGGTCAAAATTGCTGCTGTTGGGTTTCTCAGCAGTTCAGTAGCTGTCCTGCAGGCTCTTTAGTATTCTCTCCTTGCACATTCAGGGATTGGATGGGTGACATGGAAGTGACATCTGCAGGGGGAAAGTGTGTGCATCTTGAGTTTATAGCCATTGCACAAGGTAGGAATTAGGGAGAAGTTCGTGCCTGTCCACCTTAGTCTCTTTAATAAGCACACCTGTTTCTCATTTGGACTACCTGCCACAAGATAGTTCTTGAAGGAAAATTCTAGTTCGGCCCCCCTCACGGTGGTTGTGCCCAGTCCTGTGAAACTTAGGGGAGTAAAATTAGAGACACATTTCACTCTGTAGCAGTCTCCCCCAACTTGTTGCCTTCCAGGTGTGTTGGACTGCAGCTCCCATCATCTCCAGCCAGAGGGTCAGTTGCCTAATATTCCTGGAGAGCACTAGCTTAGGGAAAGCTATTTACATTTATTTATTCAAAATATGGTGTGCTTTTGTTTTTAATAGCATCCTTTCATCAAAGTTGATTCCATGGCAATTCACAGAAAAAGAAGTACAGAATACAAATACACAAAATAAGTAACATAGAAGCTTTTATGACTGTGTGTGTGTGTAGAGCGGGGCAGAGGATTGTGTGTGCCTGCATGCATGTACATCCATGTTATTTATTTTGGCTATTTGCATATCTGTAAGTGTGTGTATAAGAGTTTTGATCAGGTCCTGGGACAATAGGAAGTCATCCTCCTTGCCAATGTGTGATGCTCCTGGCATCTTCCCCCTCCTCTTTGTCCCCTTATTCAGTGCTCAGGGACATGACTGTGCATTTTAGCCCATCATGATACTTTTAGGATTCCACTACACTTGTTAACCTGGTGGCGTGACTTTTGCAGGTGTATTTTGACCTCTCTCATGTCCCTGATGGCATGCAGTTTGGGAATCAGTGCTTTAGAAAGTATGTACCAAGGCTTGTGGGTGGAGTCCCCAGAAAAGAAGTTGGTCTATGGAAGTTAGACCTAGAATTGCCAAGTAGTGATTTTCTGAAGGTAGGACATCTCTCTGGCAGTAGCTGGTTTTGCTGAAGACCCTGTTTGACTCTGAAATTACACATTGCTGATCTGACACCAGCTGTGAGATCTTTGGCCACTACATGGAAGGATGCTGTGCCCTGGGCCTTTGCTTACCAGCCCAATCTTCTTCCCCTAGGCCTGTGCCCCCTTGTACAGCTGGCGAACCAACAAGGAAGAACCTGAGCAGGAGGTGGTGGGCACCTGCTACCTGTCAGTCAACAACTTTACCAAGTTTGTGGAATATGCACCTTGCCGCTCAGGTAACTAACTCGTAGAGGCAATAGGCAGGGCTCTTAGGGTAGTGGCATAAATGTTGCTAGATATCCTTTACCTTTGAGAGTGGCAACAGAAAATGGGGGCACATCTGTGGAGACACATTAATGAGCTGGGATACACAGATGCCCCCGCCTCCACACACACACAGACACCCAGCTTCTATATGAATATAGAAGCTTTGCTACATAGAAAGTGCATTATGCACTGACTACCATGTAATGCACAACCATGGCCTGGGAGCTGTGATGGACTGGCCATCAACTGGACCAGGGAAAGCCAGATGGATTGACTCTACATTGGAAGCTGCTCCATACTGAGCCAGAGTGTTGGCCCATCTAGTCCAGTACTGTCAAAACTTACTGGCAGCAGTGGCTTTTGAGGGTCTCAGGCAGGACAGTTTCCTAGCCCTCCTTCAAGATGCTGAGGACTGAACCTGGACCTTTCTGCTTGCAAAGCAGGTGCTGTGTCACTGAGCTGCAGCCTCTCTTCCTCTAGAAGTGAAATGGGTACCTTTCCATCCCTACCCTTATGCTGGCCCTTCTCATTCCTGCCATTAGAACAAGGCAGGCTATTGAATATTCATCCAGCCAACTCTTTTCTATGTGCCATCAAGGACATGCAGGCTTCAGAGAAGACTAGTCTCTTTTTCTCCTGTGCAGGGAGAGGTGGAAGCCTGCTTTTTGATCAGCACAGCCCCCACTGGACCCACTCTGAGATTCATGTAGTCCAGAAAGAGCCATGTGTTCTAGAGAATAGCTAGAGGGCCACCTGGGAAGAATTAACAGTCCCCTACTCCCTGCAAGTGAAAGTTCTCTGTAAGAGCTCTGAGTGAAATCACATTGCAGAATTGAACATAGAGAAAGGGATGGGCCAACTTTATTGAAATTTAGATTTCCCTACTGTCCCGGTTCCAGCCAATTTCCGCTGTCTCCTACTTACCCTTGCTGTTTTGTTTGAAGGCATTTTAATGCCAGATACCCAAGTGGGACAAAGAGAGGGGTGTTACAGCAGGGAAGGGTCTGGAAGTCTAAATTCCCTCCTTCTTATGGTATCATCCCCATTGTCTGGGCCAGGAGGTTCTCTAGCTTGGTGACAAGGCTCCATCAAGAGCTTTGGTGCTGTTAGTTGACCATCCCCTCTGAATTGTTGTCCCCCTCCCATCCTTTGTCTATTTTGCACTCTTGCTCTCTCTCTGCCAGACCTGAACTCAGCCCGTGGACAAGGCTACTGTCAAAGTGGATTTAGTGCTGAATTTACAAAGGTGAGTTTCCATCCTTCTTGAGAACAAAGCTCTTACATTTGGAGCCTGGGATAAGGAATTTCTTTGGGGTGAGGCTGGGAAGGTGTAGATACAAAATAAATTAAGTTATCTATTTTTAACATGTTTATACTGCCTTATTTGCTAAAAAGCTGTCAAAGTGATCACATTACCTCTGTGGAACTAACACATTTGCCTCTCTCTGCAGACTGGACGTGTTCTTCTTGGTGGCCCTGGAAGCTATTTTTGGCAAGGTGAGCTTCTGCTTTTCATCTATCCCCTGCTTTCCTAGAAGCATAGGAAGTTGCCTTATATCAGGTCAGGTCATGGGTCTTCCACACCATTATGGTTGACACAGACTAGCAGCTGCTCCCCAGGGTTGCAAGCAGGGGTTTTTCCACCCCTACCTGGAGATACCAGGATTGAAGTTGGGGTTTTCTGTGGGTGAAGCAGGTTCTCTGCCACTGAGCCATGGCCCTTTCCCCACACCACATGCTAAGGCCAACCTTTCCTTTGAGCAGAAAAGATAAGGTGAGCAGGCATGATTTCTCTCACTTCTTCCATTAACCAAATTATTGGCAGGAAGGGGTGCTGGGAGGAGGTTTAATTTCATGCAAAGAAAGGAGAAAGAAGAGGGACCAGAAGGACCTGAGCCCAGGAAAAAAAGTGGTGAGAGCAAGAAGACATGGTGCCAGGAGTTTGCTATGCCAATTTATGAAGTCAATTTACTCAAGCTTGACCATAATTCATTTGCTGTGTACTGTACTAATGTGGCACACATTTGCTTGTTCGAACACTCTTCCAAAGTGAGCAGTACCCTCCCTCACAGAGTTAAGCAGAAGGTAAATTGTGGCACACATAATGTCTGCTGACACTATGCTTGTGAGTTTCCCAGCGGTATCTAGCTGGCTACTGTAAGAGGCAAAACTCTGGATTAATTTGGCCCAGGTCTGATAGTCCTGCAGAGCAATTCTTGCATTCTTGAGCAAGAGTTCATACTTGGGAGTTTTCAACCTGAGTTAATTCAGACATCCTATATATGCTTTCTTGCCTTGTTATTTAATGTAAACTAAAAAAACAAACAAACAAACCCTATAAGACTTAAGTCAGTCCATCTTTGATTTAGAAAGCTAGCATATGGACTAGCATAATCTTCTCCCTGTCATGCTACGTTATTCTGTATGTGGCTGAAGTCCTTTGCTGAAGTATGCTGGTTCTCTCTATATAATTACAGGTGTGGGTAACAGTATTGTATGTGTGGGTATGATATATGTTGCTATTTTTTCCCTGTCTGCCGAGAAGCATGAAGGCATGCTCTATATGCCACTGTAGGTAATCAAATAATTCATCAGTTCATCAGGCATAGGGATAAATGGCACTGTAATGAGAAATATTTGTTTGGCATCCACTGCAACAAAATGCCATTCGCCCCACCCTCCTGTTTGCTTGTGGCCAGCAAATGTTAATGAAGGGTTCTATTTTTGCTTAGAAGGTCCTCATTTTAAAAATAAAGTGTTTGAGGCAAGCAACACCTTAAATGGCAGGTGTGTATCGGATATTGCCTGTTTTTATGAGGCTCTGTCATGGCAGGAGAGGGTGTGCATGAAATTATGTGCGGATAACTGTTCATCGTCTATCTCTCAATTTTAATCACCAACTTCAGGACACTTGTTACATATCTCCAGATTTGCCACACAATGTCCCAGTTCTGGCCACAGAGTAACACAGATAATGTGAATTGCACTCATCTTTTGTCAACATGAATTTAAACTTGTGCATATTGTGAAGCTGCCTTGTTGGAGTCAGGCCATTTTTTGGCATAGCTGCCTGAGAATGCTGGGAGTTATAATCCAACGCATTAGGAGATGCCAAATTGGGGAAGGGTGATCTCTTCCTCCAAGCAGAGATTCCCCAAGATTTCAACCTGTGGTTTTTCTTGTCCCTGCCACCTTGAAGTCCTGAAATGACATGGTGTGGAATGTGAGACCTATTCACTTCCAATAACACACTCTGTCCCGGAGTTTGAGGCCCTACCTAAATAAAAATGTCTTAACTTGAGAAAGAAGGCCATGCACTGGCAGTAGAGATGAAAGAGATGTCTAAATTTCAACTTGCAAGCATGTATGCAATGGCATAAAACCATAAAGAAAAAACTTGGCTTGTGGGTTTCAGGTGGTAGAGCTAAGCTTTCCCACCGAATCATGCACATACACAGACCCTGCCCTTATCTCTGTGTTTGTATCTGGACTGCCTCAAATGCAGGCTTGAGAACATGCATTTGCAAAGGTAATGTTGCATTCTGCCCATGGTGGTATAGGTTGTTAATGTCCCCGAGTCAGGACTGGAGGAGACTTCCATGGCATTCAGCACAGTGCCCTGTGGGGAGGGGACTGCATTGTGGAGATGTTTTCACATGATGGTAGTTTTTGTAACTAGCAAAATCTCCTATTCTTTTTGAATGGTATTTAAGAAATGGTTCTTAAAAATGTTCATTATTGGCATGTCCAATTGATTCTTATTTTGGGCCAGGCAAATTCCCACTCTACTTTCAAGAATACCTCTGAGGGCTAGCAAGTTTTGCTCCCTTTTTAAAAAATAAGATGAATGGCAAGAATCACAGGAAGCAGAATCTGACACTACTTTCCTGTATTCACAGCATACATGCAGCACTGATTATTTGCTTCCTTGCATATGGGACTATCAGCTTCCACCATCCCTGCCCTACATCCCCCAAATTCAGCACAAGCTTTTAAATGTATTTATTCACATTTATATCCTGCTCTTATTCTAAGTAGCTTCAAGTGTCATACAGAGTCCCTGTCCCATGTTTCCCTCACACACAAACCCATGTATTTGCATGTAATTGACCCAGGCAGAGTGAGGATTTCACTCCGTGTTTCCCCAGGCCCAGTCCAATACTCTAGCCAATACACCATGGTTTTTCTTCAGGCCAGGTGCTATCAGCAACTCAGGATGCCATTGAGCAGTCCTACGACCCTGAATATTTAATCCTGGAGGTGAAAGGGAAGCTCGAAACACGACAGTCTCACATCAACGCTGACGACAGTTACCTCGGTGAGTGCTGGAGAGAAGGGAGAAGGACTCTTTGTCCTTGGGTGGTATTCTTTCCGAGGGCTGTAGGAGCCCTAGTCCCAAGCAGTGGGAGACAGACTGTTTCACCAGATTAGTTTTCTGGGCTTCTGACTCTTCAGCCTTCTTCATCCGCAGATTTGTTTTGAAGCTCGGGCCCAGATATAGCCCACCTGGGGTCCCAGTCCAGCCTTCTGGGATTCCTGAGATGGCCTCACCCTGTTTTCCCTGCCCCTACCCCCTTTTACTCAATTCCTATCTTCCAATGCTTTCCCAGTTTTTGTGTCATTTCCTCCTTTCTAAAAGCTTGAGATGCTTCTTCTAAAGCTTAGATACTGAGAGTTATATCTTTGAGCTAAAATGTGTTATTATTTTAGCTCAAATCCCTGCCTTTGTCCCCACTACCAGCTGAATTTGAACCTTGGGATGAAAGAGGTTTCATACATCTAGTCTACATAGTAGTGATAGGCGTTTAGACTTCTGCAGGCCAAATCTGGTCCTAAGGCTTCCTCTCTTGTTCTTGATTCCAAGGTCACAGATTTCCAACACAGAATGCTCAGCTACTTTCTCCCAAACTGAGACACAGTCAAAGGGCTCTCTAACCCCTTCTTTTGCAGCGCGGGCACCAGTTCTTCTATCTTTCTGCATCTCAGCTGCTCTTACCAAAGCCAAACCAAGACACAGGGAAATGGCAGTGAGCACCCAATCTGTGGCTGAAGGCGGTCTTTGCAAAAGCTTCTGCTTAGTCACCCTGGAGAAAAGGGGTTAAAGAGTCCATTGCCTGATGTTCCAGCTGATGTGGGTTCCAGCAAGTGGGTAGAACCAGAGTTGCATGCACCCCAGTCCTTGCTCAGTTTGAAATACAGGCCTTGTTAAAAATGAGTTACCAACCAGGCCTTACACATCTGAGAAGGTGAAGATGCTCTTGACTCTGTGTAGCTCACAACAGCTTCTTAGCTGTGTAGGGCTAGCAGACAGCTTGTTATGAGCACAGGGCATTTGATTTTGCTTACTCTGGGGGAAGTACTCATGGAAACAGATTGTTGATGGGTAGGGTTCACAGAAAGATCACATTCTCTTTTCTCATAGACAGTTAATAGTTCAAGGTAAAAACTGTATGGTCATCTCTGAAACTTAACTGTGTTTCCTGTGTCTTTTCCTTACTTTCACCCCGGTTGAAGGAATTCCTTACCTCATAGTGATCTTTCCCTGTAATAAAGGATTCTTGCATGCACAGATCTTTAGAGAGAGCTGTAGGGAGAGACAGGAGTTCAGTGATCTAGCTCAACCTTTTTGGATTTTGCCTTTTAAGAAGTCCTTATGTAACTTTATTGTAGACATTATGAGTCCTATGACAAGAAAGCATGCAGAGAAGTGGCAACAGCACTCCCTAGTAGTCCCAGTGGCACAGCAAATACTTGTCTTAGTCATGATGTTTCTTCTGTTTTGTTCCTAGGCTACTCTGTGGCTGTAGGTGAATTCAGCGGAGACTCCACTGAAGGTACTAATGTGTTTAGGGGAAGTAGCTTTGGTGATGGAGACGGAGATAAGACTGGTATCTGGGCATTTTTTGGAGAGTAAACTGTTCAACTGTTCAAACTGTTTACCTTGCACCTAAAGCATCCATTGCATTCTGAACAAATTATGCAAATCAGATTTGTGAAGTAGTGTATGTGTTAGGCTGACAA